CCTTTATAGTAGAAAAAAATCTTTAGCTTCTCCTAAGTTTTAATTTAGGGTTTCTCATGTGGGAGAATAGGACAGAAGGCCAAAAGATCAAAAGGTTTTGTTACATTAAGTCTGTGTGCTGGTTGTGAGACTTAGTTTGTTGTCCTTTAAATATTTTATAGATGTTTCTCTCTTAACTAAATAACTTACAGGGCTTAATTTCAATTATGTTTAAACCGGATAGTTTTTTGGAAGGGCCAGAGCCACCTGCACTTGTTGATTTTAGGATCAACAGTATAATTCTTTTTTAACCAAATAGTGCTGTTATAAAACCTATAATACAGTGTTCAGGTACGCCACATGCTGCGTGCTCGCTCTCTTGCATTCAGATCAGGCAATGAGACAGAGTACAAAGCTGCGAAGTACAGACTGAGGAAAGCCATCACAGCGGCCAAGAGGCAGTACAGAGAGAAGCTGAATGGCTACTATTCTACTGCTGACTCTGGACGAATGTGGCAAGGCCTGCAGCACATCACAGACTACAGGACCACCACCAGCATCATCAGCTCCACAGACAGCCTGCCGGATGACCTCAACACTTTCTACACCCACTTTGAGACCTCCAGCTACAGCACAGAGAGGAAGCACGTGCACACCTGGACCACCCAACCCCCCCACCTCCCCTCCACTAACTGTCTCACCAGGCCAGGTATGCACAGTCCTGAGGAAGATCAATCCCTGCAAAGCAGCAAGACCAGACAACATCCCTGGGAGGGCTCTCAGGGCATGTGCCAGCGCGCTGGTCGATGTTCTCACCTCCATCTTCAACCTCTCCCTCAGCCAGAGCATCGTTCCCACCTGCTTAAGACCACAACCATCATCCCCTTCCCAAGAAGAGCCCGGTCACCTGCCTGAACGATTACAGGCCAGTGGCACTCACCCCAATCATTATGAAGTGTTTTGAGAGAGTGGTTCTAGCCCACATCCAGAGCAGTATACCAGACACCCGCCCCCCTGCAGTATGCCTGTCGGCCCAACAGGGCCACCTCAGACGCCATCGCGGCTGTCCTCCACTATTCCCTTTCTCACCTGGAAAATGCAGACTCTTACATCAGGATACTCTTCATTGACTACAGCTCCGCCTTCAACACAGTTGTCCCCCCCAAACTGTCCACACTGGGTCTGCACCCCCCCCTCTGTGACTGGCTCCTGGACTTTCTGACTGGCAGGCCCCAGACTGTCAGGATCGGCAACAGGACTTCAGCCAGCATAATCACTAACATCAGCACCCCACAGGGATGTGTCCTCAGTCCCATCCTCTACACCCTGATCATCCACGACTGTGTCACTTCCCACAAAAACAACATCATCCGAAAGTTCGCGGATGACACCTCAGTGATAGGTCGCATCACTGGCAGGGACAAACCAGCCTACAGGAGGGAGGGGGCCGGGCTGGGGTCATGGTGCAAGGACAATAATCTCAGCCTCAACACAGACAAGACGAAGGAGATGGTAGGGGACATGAGG